GACGGCTTGCTCGAACTCGGATTGGCGCTCGGCTGTTGGATATGAAGTTAGTGATTATGAATATTTATAAGAAGTCCTAATTAATAGACTCACCCGCCGGAGGCAGCTGCACAGGTTCTGAAGAAGCCATGGTTGTCAAGTCGTTGTTGGTGGGGTTTGGAGGGGCAACTCAAAGATGGCTCTGCACAAAAATTTTGGTGTTTTTTTTTTTCTTCCGTCCAGACCCAGATCAACCCAATCGCGCACCCACACCCGCTACGACAGCGCAAAACCCACTGATTTCCCTCCACAAACGCACGGGCCAGGCTGAAAGGACCGAGCGACTCACTCGTTGCATGCAGCAGGCGGACTCGACGTTCCCGTCCCGCAAAGTCAGGGGTAGGGTCGGTTGAGCATGACATCATGGGGACCCCTAGCACCAGCACCAGCACTAGCACCAGCACCAGCACCGAGACAACCAACCTTCATGCTTTTACTGTGTGTTCAGCCGTGACCTACTTCTCGCGCTGATCGGCCAGACATGAAGTCTTTGTAGTCTCAACAAGCTTTTTCGTGGGCAGACGGCGCGTTTGTAACAGAAGCCGCTGCCGTATCCAGCTCTTAGCACCATGAACTCTCTCAACACCACCTCAGTCTCACTGGCAGTGACGCCAACTGTCGTGTCGACTCTATTTTCACATGTACGTGCCGTGCGATCCATGGATCCATCCCGCGCCCAACGGTCATGCAGCCTGATGCATTTCAATTGCTTTTTTTACTGACGCGACAATCCTCTGCAGTACTTCAACAGGAAGCCCCTGAGGCAACGCCCGACTGCCCATCTGTCCTACGATGAAGGCCTTCACCTGATCCGGTCGTTCCTCGAGTACTCATCACACCACACCGTCGAGGAGCTTCAGGCATTTACCGCACAATGGGTGCCGCACCCGCAATGGGTCAAGGTCGAAGATGCGACCGTTCCTGAGGAGCAATTGACCCGCGCGGCCGAGCTCCTCCATAAGCAGCTGGGCACCGACGGCCTCCGGCAGGTCGGCGGCGAGAAATGGTGGCAGTGGCGGAAGCCCAAGAGCCCCCTGGAGGCCGAATGGATCGAGATGCGCTCGGATGCCTGGGAAAGGAAGCGGGATGGCGGCAATTCGCGACGCGTCATGATGTACATCCACGGAGGCGCATACTACTTTGGCAGCGTGGATGAACATCGGTATCAGATGCAGCGCCATGCCCGCAAGCTCAAGGCGCGTGTGTTTGCGCCTCGCTACCGACTGTCGCCGCAGTTTCCTTTCCCTTGCGGCCTTCACGATTGTCTCGCCGCCTACCTCTATCTCTTGACGGTTCAAGATCCGACGACCATTGTGCTGGCAGGAGACTCTGCAGGCGGCGGCATGGTCATGTCTTTGCTGTGTGTTCTGAGGGATCAGGGAATTCCATTGCCTGCTGGCGCTGTGCTGATCAGCCCATGGGTCGACCTGACGCACTCGTTCCCGAGCGTCTCGGGAGAAGCGCCGATGGACTACATCCCTCAGGCTGGATTTCACCACAAGCCCTCCCAGGCATGGCCGCCACCCAACGAGGACGATATCACGATGCTCAGAGAGGCGGCTTTGAAGAAAAAGAACAACAAGATCAAGAAGACACCAGGAACGCAAGAGCTCAAGGAAAAGCAGCATGCACCTGTTGTAAAGAAGGAACCATCCGATGCCTCGTGCAGGTCAGATTGGATCAACGGTGGGGTTCCAATCAATCCTGACAAGCTTCTTTCAGTCGCCATCGATGGTGAAATGGTCAAGCTCAAAGATCAGATCCAGGTTTGTTGTTTCGCATGATTCAGAAGATTGGAAACTCATATTCCCAGATGTATACTTCGAATGAACTCCTGGCTCATCCACTGGTCAGCCCCGTCATGCAGCCTACCTTGGGTGGTCTGCCACCTCTTCTCATCATGGTTGGAGGAGGAGAGATTCTTCGTGACGAGCAGATCTATCTGGCCCACAAGTGTGCTAATCCTGCCAAATATGCACCACCTGAAGAAGCCTTGACAGAAGAAGGAAGGGCCCGGCTGGAGCAGTACAAGCCAACCGATGTTCAGCTTCAAATATGGGATGATCTCTGCCATGTGGCGCCAACACTCAGCTTCACTCGACCTGCCAAGCACATGTACAGGTCCATTGCCCAGTTTAGCGCCTGGGCCCTTGCCAGAGCTCAGAAGCGGGGCATTGATATTCTTGACGACGATGCTATCTCTGTCATTTCTGAGTCTGGATCAGATAGCGAGCGATCACAAAGGCCCAAGACCCCGGAACTAGAGAGGTCTCCTACCAACCTTCCGCCTGGGCAGGTTGGAAAGGCAGGCGATCCCCTACCTCCCTTCAGGAACCACATGATTCGGCAGAGGGTTACTCGTCACGGTGCTACATTGCCTTTGGCCCCCGAAGCCGAACTACCCGCATGCTGTGTCCAACCTGCCACAGTTGGTGTTGTGAAGGAGGGTACCGTCAAGAAATGGCTCGCAATGAGGAAACAGTGTGATCATCGCTTCGCCTCGGCCAAGGCAAAGATTCACAAGAAGATTGTCGATGACATGGTGGCAGGCTATCATGAATTTGGCCCTGGCGAGTATCCTCCCCCTACTGCCTTGGCAGGACGACGACGGGTCGACTCGGAGCTGGTGGAGGGCAAGAATCAGAAGAGTTGGGGCCTGGCAATGTGGTCACTGTGGGGTTCCAAGCACGATGAGATGACGGTTGAAAGAGAGAAGAAGGCGGGTGAAGAGCCCGGGGTCCGCGTTGCTACACCAGCTGATGGACAAGGGGCGCGTTCTTTTGCTGACATTGAGGGCCAAGATGGGCCCAAGGTGCTGTCAGACCAATCTCGCAGCCGATCTCATCGCAAGACGGTCGTCGATGACAATCAGACAGGCAGCATGGTTTTCACTGAGGACACGCCTGTCGCCCATCTCCTGGAGCAGAGGAGGGAACAGGAGGCCGCTAAGCCTAGCCTGCTCAGCCCTGATTTTGTGCCAGAGACTGGTGTTGCAGGAAAGCGGCCGTTCCTTGATGGCATCGCTTTGCCGTTCAGCCTTAATAAGGAAGCTGATACAGCAAGCATGATGACTCTGCACTCGACCGCTACTCCGCTCCCAGGCTCAAGGCCTATGAGTTTAGTTCTTGTGGATGATGACTCGACTCAGCCGACGCAGACAACCCATATGACAACACAAGAAGATGATGTGCCCGCAATTGGCGTAGCTGGCAAGCGTCCTTATCTCGACGGCATCGCACTGCCGTTCAGTTTGAATAGGGAAGCCGAGACGGCCAGTATGATGACCTTGCAGTCCAACGTCACCCCGCTGCCAGGCTCGCGACCCATGAGCCCAAGTGTTTTGGGCGATGACTCGGCGCGGTCGATAAAGCAAACCGACGAAATTAAAGAGAATGGAGAGAAGAAAGAGGAGGGATCAATTCTGGCAGTGCCGACCCCCGAGCGGCCTGGTTTGGACACTTTCGTCACGGCTCAAGAGGAGCTTCCCCGTGTCAAGTAAGAGGAGGAATATTTGTCACTTTTGGCGCAACGGATAGGATTTGGCCAGAATGTATTATTTTGGGTACAGCCAGGATATCCCGTGCGCCAGAGCACAGTCGTTTATTGTTTCTTTGTTTTTTTCCTTGCGTCTTTGCAAATAAGGGAGCGGATATTCAGCACACTCACCTTGAGGGCTCTTGGGAATACCAACGAGGCCGTCCTTTGTAAATCCTCACATATACACGTCATTTTCTTATATAATACAACCAGACAAGCATCAAGACCAAGGCAGAGTAGAGACCCTGATAGGTCTTCAGTGGTTCATCTTTCTTTCTTGCCCTCACAGGGATATGGACTATTGGAAACATCTCAAATAGTTTGGTGGATAAACCAAATATTGTTCCCGTAATAAAGACCCAGCCAGCTTTTAAGAAACCGTTGACCATCCAACTCTTGCCGTTCTTGGTGATGGTGAGTACATAATCATACATGGTGGTACAGTGTACGCGGGTATATACAGTCTTGCCAGAGGTTCCCAGTCTCTAGCAGAGATTCATAACTCCATCTTTCTAGGCCCATTGTGTGTCCGAATATAGCATCTCGACCATTTGGTTCCTTCAATCCACGCCATTGAATCGCTTCCACTGCTCGACGTAGAAGTAAGGGTCTTGAGGACCCTTCTCGAGGCCCCGGTAGTCAGCAGGTTCAGCCTTGACTTGGCGGCTCACAAACGGCGTGAGCTACACCATGAGCGTTAGCAACAGTCGTCCTCCATGTGCGCAATTCCCTCCTCACCTTGAAGTCCTTGAGGTTCGGCACAGCATATGTCCGGACCTTGTTCCACTCAATCACGTAGCCTCCGTACTTTGTGTGTCGACCCATTGAACCAGTACGGTTACCCTTGTAGAAACCCTTGCCGACATCTTTGGTGGTGAGCTTGAGGTGGCGGTATCGGCCGACTGAGAGGGCTTGGGTAGGTCTCATGTTCGCAGAAGGATATTCGGGGCCTGTGGAATTCGTGTATGCGGTCGGCGAGAGCGAATTCGGAACGATCGAGGGAGCTATCCGTGGTCAATTGGTGGTCGGCGTCGCGATTGCAATAGGTGGGATGTTGAAGATTTGGAGATTCGGGAGTTTGTGTTGTTCCGATTCCGGGGCTAGCTGCCGAAAGCTTGCAGGGGTGTGCCAGCAACATCAGGCCAGGTGCGCGATGGAATGGCGCTGAGCTATGTTACGATATGGAATAATATTCTAATTTGAGACTTATTTCGAAAATAATTTCTAGTTACTCAAATATTTGTTTCCAAAAGAGAATACTTCCAAGGCAGCTTGTTCTTGCTCATCCTTGAGCTCTGTAAGTGGGCTGTGCCGCTAACGAGGGGCACATGGCGATCCCTCATGGCTAACGTCTCCAAGTCTGAGCTCAACCCCCCCAACATTCGAAAAACCACCCATGCCGTGGACGTTTCAAAGTGGCCACGATGGATGGGTACCCGACGGGAACTCTGGACCATAATGTCCCCTTCCTGGTGGCCGCCGGCCTCAACAGCGAGACGTACGAGCTCCCTCTGAGCGCAGAGCTTAAGGACCAGAGCATCCTCCTCCGGTCAGAGCTTCCGCCGATCGAGGGCGACGACGCTGAGGTCCTGGCCCAGTATATGAAGGACGTTGACGCGAGCGCAAAGTCATGGAGCGCGTTTGAGAGGGAAGAACCGTATAGGTTCCGCATCAGGACTACGGGAAGGGTAAAGCCGAGAACATGATTACTTGAGGCTCTTGGTTCTGATTCGTTTGGTATAGTCATTTCTGCTTCCGCCGCGTCGAGCTCGACTCCCCGATGGCATCGAACCACTCGTGGCGCCCGCGACACTGCACTCGCCCTTTTCGCCGCTCAGCCCCGTGTCGGCGCTGTATCCGGACGGGCTCATCGACGCGCAATGGATCAAGAAGCACCAGGAGCTGGTTCCCAGTATCTATCTCTGTTTCTACCCCCTCACTAGTGATCCTACGTCCACGACGCTGCAAGACAATCACATCAAGTCCGATATCAATAACCTCAAGAGCGCGCTGGCAAGGTCGGGATTCAAGACGCGACTGGCGATCGTTCTCCTCGCTGAGAGCGGGGGCAGTCCACTTTCGCTGTCAGAGGGGATCCAGGAGAGGTTGGAGAACATTCGCAGAGGGACGGCGCTAGATCCAAAGTCGGTTTTTTACATCCCTTCGCAGGAGTCGCAGGACGATCTTAAGCAGGTGGTGGATAACATCCTGGGAGTCCTGTACACCTCAGCCGTCGAATATTACCGAGACCTAGGGAGACATGCGAGGAAGAAGCGCTCCCGTGGAGTAGCGCCCCAACCGACTGTCCCGCCGACATCTGGAACATCGCAAACGCTCTCGCTGCCGGACTGGAACTTTAGGTACGACTTCAAGTCTGCCGTATTTGCAGAGTTTCGACAAGAAACGGATGCGGCGCTGCGATCCTTTGAACAAGCGTACGAGGTGCTTCTAGGTCAGGATGTGTTGGACATTATCCCCAGCTGGAGCCCCAGATGGAACGAGGCGCGTCTACTGGCCGATATCATAGCTATCCGATGTCTGCGCTGTCATCTGTGGCTTGGACAAACCTCGTTAGCAGTCCGACGATGGCAATCACACCGGGACCGGATCAATGATTTTGTCGATCGACGAGGGAGGGGTACCAACAACTATGGATGGCAAGCATGGGAAGCCCGTTGGGCTATGGTGATGGCCAACTTGATTGACAAGGTCGGTGTGCCTAGCCTGGCGCCAGCGACCATGAGCCTCTTCGCCCAGCCAGACAAGTCAGTATTGGGCGAGCGCATACCGCCGTGGGAGTCGTTGCACCATACCGGATACTGGTATCGCATAGCGGCCCGTCACCTTGTGGCCCGTCGGAAACTGGCACTCCAAATACCAGAGGAGGACAGGAACCCGCCCGACTCTTCTCCTGCTTCGCTGGTGGCTAGTAAAGCATACACGTATGACACGTACATGTGTCCCGAGCCTTACCAAGAATATCCCTTGTCAGGAGAGGGCGTTAATCATTCGCAGCTAGTGATTGATTGCCTGAAGGCAGCTGGCGCTCAGTTCCACGCTCGTAAACAAGAACGGATGGCTGCAGAGGTGTCACTGGATTGCGCGAGAGAGATGGCCAACCTGGAGCAGTGGGAGGACGCAATAGAAGTATTGAAACCATTCTGGGAAAATGATGCTTTTAGGTCCGAGGGATGGGTTGATATCTCTGAAGAGCTGTCTTGGCTTGTGAGGAGAGTTGCTGTGGGAGCTGGGCAAGCAGACCTGGTGGTTGCTGCTGATTGGGAACTCATGAACAATAGTAAGTGGCCTACCTTGCAAGATGGGACATGTGCTGACTTTCCTGCAGAATTTGTACGACGGCCACAATGGCATTATGACATTACAAAGTCTCTAGAGGGTGTGTCTATTGAGACCAATCCCTCGATAAGTTTATCCGACGACAAGTCAGGCTCATTTGTTTCGGCGTCGTTTGTCTTCCGGAACAAAGAGAGCAAGGCTGGCGAGACCTGCACTGCGCAGCTTGCCCTCACTTCACATACCTTCCTCGATGCTGCCCCTATCACGCTGGACTCTCTCAAGATCGAGTTTAGCGGGAACCTAAAGCCACTTCTTTTAGAACATGAAGAACCTGAAAGCGACGAGGACTCATCCAAGTCAGGAGTTTTTATATCATCAATATCGCTACAAGAAGACTTTGCCGGCGAATCAGAAGATGACCTGCCATCCTTACTCAGGGGCCAGTCCAACTTGGTCCTCCAACCTGGACAGACCCGGGTCTTTGAGATGAAGATACCCCTGAGGGAGCCAGGAACAGCGACAGCTTCTTCTGTTACACTATCACACAGCAACGACGCCTTCGATCTCGACTACAAGCTGAAATTCCGAGAGACAGATCCTGTTGTCGGTTGGTACATCCAGGGCTCCTCCAAGCCTCGGAACAGTCGCCCGGAAGCAGGCACAATCCAAATTCAACCCCGACCGCCGAAGATGGAGATCAAGCTTGTCAAGCCTTTGGCGCAGTACTATGCGAACGAGGCCATTGACCTGCACATTGAACTCTTGAACGCAGAAGAGGAGTCGGCCAGCGTCAAACTGGACATTCACGTGTTTGGCAAGGAGGTCCCTGCAATTCGGATAGAGGCAGACGGGCATGAAGGCAGCTCAGAAGCACAAGAGGAGGAGTCCAAGATCTCGGGTCTGGTATTAGGGACCATGGAAAAGGCATCATCGTCGCAGCTGGTGCTTCACATGGATCCTCCGACAGGGCCGACGACGTTTGACTTGCACCTGAGGGCTTCGTATCACCTCGACTCTGACGCCGTGACACCGATCATGCAGATGTTGGCGGTACAGGTCAACGTTGTCAATGCATTCGAGGCCAACTACGATTTAGTGCCAAGGCTTCACCCTGAGCCATGGCCAAGCCTGTTTGATTCAGAGGGACTTGGAGATACGGAAGAGGGTGTCGCTCGAGGCTTTGCGCAGAAGTGGTGTCTACTTTGCCACTACGCTTCGTTCGCCCAAGAGGACCTCAAGGTACTCGGCATGGATATGAAGGTGACTTCGTGTGTTGGCGGTGCACGATGCAACGTGGTCAAGGGGCCAAGTGTGTCGCCAGAGGGTGTAGTTGTCGCACCCAAGACGATGCATGAAGCACAGTTTGATCTTGTGGCGCAGAAGCTCACGATGGAGGATCGACACCCCGTCACACTGGATCTTGCGTTTGTCATCCGATGGCAACGGCAGAGCCGCGACGATGAAGTAGTCAACACAACGACGATGCCTGTCGGAAAGTATCTGGTGCTAGGAACCGAGCCGCGGGTGCTGGCATCTGCATACCACAACCACGAATCAGAAGACGGTGTGCCAGGACTGATGCAGTTGGACATGACGATTGAGAACCCGTCCAATCACTTCCTCACGTTTGGACTAAGCATGGAGCCGAGCGACGAATTTGCCTTTTCAGGGGCTAAGCAAACGACGCTCAACTTGCTGCCACAGTCAAGAAGGACGACAACATACCGGCTGCTACCACAAGTGAGCGGGGACTACATCCGGCCACGGCTGACTGTGCGGGACAAGTACTTTCAAAAGGTGCTCCGCATAATACCGACAGAGGGGATGAAGATTGACAAGGATGGTCTACTAGTGTGGATTCCGGGAGAAGCATCAGAGGATGAGGAGGAAGACGAGGAAGAAGAGGCCCAATGATGATGTCCAAGACGATAATAGAAAGGCTGCGCTTGAATTTAGACGGGAATATAGAAGTGGCTGAAGTAATGAAGCCATCACGAGAACATGTCTGATACGAAAATCTACTACGTCACCTACAGATGTGAGGGTGTAAGATGAGTGCTGACGTTGGACGGGACGCGTCCCGTTAACCGACGATAATTTACCTCATATCAAGTCAGCAGCCACGAGGTGAGCACATGGACCGTTGACTGCCACGAGGTTTACCGTGTTCACCGCTTCTGAACGTGTTTTTTTTTTTTTTTGCTGATCAGGGAGGATAGAGTTTGATAATGGGCAAAATGGTCAAAAAGGGCATAAATAAGGGCGTTAAGAACATGGAAGTCCGTGAATACCTATCTCCGTTTATCCTCCGTGTCTCGTCCGTCCGGTGTGCGAGGTTCTCCGGGAAGCATTATTGGCATAATTAACTATGATTAGATCCTCAGAACGTGAAATAAGATATGAAACATCCATTCACGTTCGCGGAACGAGAGATTTCGCGATCGGAAATAACAGCGATGCCGAGGCGCGAGGAATCGCCCAGAGGATCGAGACCCGTGGTGGATCATGGGATCCATGCACCACCCCCGCGCTAGCTTTTTGGCGCGAGCCTTGTGGGGCCTTGGTTAAGAATTTCTGGGAAATTTCGTATCCAGGAGAACGACAAGATTATGTGTCGAGATGTTATTGTATAGATAATATTGGAGATGGTTGTGGTGTTGTAGAGTTGAAGAGGATAGAGAATCAACTCTGATGCAACATCACAAGCTAAACTTCACATGCTAATTAAGCCTCCTTCTCAAATAGCTAGCAACAAACCCGAAAAAGACCATCAATAAAAATCAATGACTGCCACGACTGTCTCGCACTTTTTGACTCATCCCCTAAGCAGCACCCTTAACCCCTGATTGGGCGCCACCTCGGACATCGGTCTTGTGAGGAAGTCCGCTCCAACGTTTGATGACACTTGGATCGAGCTCGAAACCCCCTCGGGAACCAACAAGGACAAGGAAATGAGAAAAGCCGCTGGTCGTGTATGCCTCGTCGTGCTTACTGGTTGCATCTGTCGCCCGCTGTCCGGGGCTCGACGACATCCGAGCCGCAGCGGCAGCGGGAGAATAGCCATCCGCGTTATACATACTGACATTTTGCTGGGCTAATACTGTATTATCTCCGGGCTTGCTATTGTCTTGAGCTTTAGCTTGGCATGGTATTGGAGGGAACGGACATGTCGTAGCTTTTGTTGTTTGCTTAGGCTAGCTTCCATCCCTTTCAGCTCTTGGGTGGATGCATCATAAGCCTTACCCCCCAAGTCTCAGAAAAAAAGCATTCATGTTTATTTAATCCTTAGGGTCGCCACCTTTTCTTTCTTTTCAAAACGACAGTGAATCACAGTCGATAAAGGATTCTTCCATCCCAAAGAATTCCCAGGCTAGTCATTGCCTGCTTGTCAACAAACGAGTCCCAATAAACCTTTCTCTTCAACATTCGCCTCGAGGCGATTCGACTCGTCCATCATGGCAACGACCACTCCCGCCGCGGCCACGACAACTGCCGCCCTTGAAGAGAAACGTCTCTCGTCTGATGAAAAGACTGAAGTTGGCTCCAACATTGTCGATCCCTCGGCAGACGCCAAGGAGCAACAAGAAGGCTCTGCCACTGGAGGTTCTGTCAACGGCGGTGCTGAAAATGCTACCAGCGACGACGAGCCCGAGTATCCTTCGGCTGCTAAGCTTACTCTCATCATCGTCTCGCTCTGTCTCGCCATCTTCCTCGTCGCCCTCGATCAGACAATCATCGCTCCCGCCCTGGGTGCCATTACGGCCAAGTTTCAGAGTGTCAAGGACATTGTAGGATTACTATGCATGTTTTCACCAAACAATGTCAACTAACTTTTCCTCAGGGTTGGTATGGCTCTGCTTATCTGCTCACCACCACGGCTCTCCAGCCCATGTACGGCACCATCTACAAGTACTTCAACGTCAAGTTTGCCTACCTCACTGCCGTCTTTATCTTTGAGGTTGGCAGCTTGATCTCTGCCGTCGCTCCCTCCTCCGTCACTTTCATTGTAGGCCGTGCTATTGCTGGAGTATGTACTTTCTCTTTGTTGTTTTAGACGCCTCGTACTAACTATTTCTAGATTGGAACGGCTGGTCTCTTCTCTGGATCCATTGTCATCCTGTCACTGATCAGTACGTTGCCCTACCACCATGCTCTCAGGGTCATGCAGTCAACTAACAAGCACAGTGCCTCTTGAGAAGCGTCCTCTTGCCTTTGGTCTCATCGGTGGCATGTGGGGTATTGCCTCCGTCGCCGGTCCCCTTCTTGGCGGTGCCTTCACCGAGCATGCCACTTGGCGATGGTGTTTCTACATCAACCTCCCCATTGGCGGTATTGCCATGGTCATCGTCTTCTTCTTCGTCCACGTCAACCGCAACTCGGCCGAGTCTCGCGACATGACCTTCATGGCCCGCGTTCGCCAGCTTGATCTCGCCGGTGCTGCCATCTTCATCCCTGCCATCGTCTGCCTTCTTCTCGCCCTCCAGTGGGGAGGTGCCGACTACGCCTGGAGCAACTCACGCATCATTGGTCTTTTCTGCGGTTTCGGTGCCATGATTGCCATCTTCATCGGTATTCAGTTCTGGCAAGGTGATCGTGGAACCTTGCCTCCTCGTCTGTTCAAGAACCGCAACACCCTGGCCGCCATGATGTTTGCCCTGTTCTTTGGTGCCGGCTTCTTCCCCCTGATCTACTACCTCTGTATGTCCCACCTCTCACTGTCACTCCTCAGCTAACATGTCCGCAGCCCTCTACTTCCAGGCTATCCAAGGTGTCAGTGCCGTCCAGGCTGGTATTAAGATCCTCCCCCTTCTCCTGTCCACCGTCCTCTGCTCCATCGTCTCCGGAGGCATCATCACCGCTATCGGCTACTACAACTTCGTCATCATCCCCTGCATGGTCCTCTTCACTGTCGGCAGTGGCATGCTTACCACCCTCGACGTCGACTCCCAGTTAAAGGAGTGGTTCGGCTACCAGGTCATCGCCGGCCTTGGCATCGGTGCCGGCTTCCAGATCGGCGTGCTCATCGTCCAGACAGTTCTACCTCAGGAATGGGTTCCTGTTGGTACTGCCTGCATTCAATTCTTCCAGGCCTTCGGCGGCGCACTTTTCATTGCTGTTGCTCAAACAGTGTTCCAGAACGGCCTCATTGACACTATCAAGGCTGATAACATCGGTATTGATCCCACAATCTTCATCAACAGCGGTGCTTCAGAAATCAAGGAGGTTCTGACCAAAATGGACCGCCTGGACGCTTTCGACACCGTCCTCGAAGCATACATGAAGGGTCTCCGAGACACCTTTTACATCTCCCTTGCCTGCTCCGCCTGTGCCTTGATAGCTTGCCTGTTCTTCCAGTGGAAGTCTGTCAAGCAGGGCCCCGACGGCCAGAAGAAGAAGGCCGAGCCTGCTGTGCCCGTCTAAGCAGGTTTTGCCGTGTCTTGTTTTGGAAAAATCGGCGTTGATATGTTGATTGGTTGATATAGAGGATACCCGGACATCTCTCCACCCTTGGGCGCATTTCTGGTGTAATAATGAGCACCTTGTTGGAATATCAGGTTAATTAGACGAGCCTCTTTGGATAAATAAAGCTGTCTTTACTGCGTGTCGTCTGGTGGTTTGTCCCATGAAACTCGTGCTGTTCTGGCTCTGGTTCTCACTCCGACGTGGGCTCCCACAAACTTGAGAACCCAGTCCTTGACCTGCTTTGTCTTGGCCAGTTGCGGATGTACTTGACCCCGTTTAGCCAGATCGCGAGTTGTGTAAAGTCCAGATCCTTCCCTTCTCCATAAGAGAGTCACCTTGGTCATGCCTTTGCGAAGACTCTGACCGTACACTTTGCCCCTGAAAACGTGAAGAGCGACATTCTGCATCAAGACCACGTCCTGTCGTCGCAGACTGCTAATCTCCGCCGTGGCCGCGTTCTCGCGATCGAGCCAGAATGTCACGGCGAATCCAGACTTTGTATCATCGCCGACGAGAATTTCAACCAGAGATAGGGTCCGACCCCAGCGGGTTGTGACACTCCGGGGTTGTGCGATGGATATGATACCCACTATCAGATTGAGGGTGACAGTTTGGGGGTTGAGAGCTAGGATCCTGGGGGCGGGTGGGACATCTTCTAGGTCTGAGAGATGAGATGGGACAGGCGCTATTATTGTGGGTTTCCCTGTAGAAGATACAGTCATGAAAGAGGTTTCTTCGAAACTGTCGAGTTGTGATGAAGGAATCGAATTGTGCACGGCCAAAGAATGATCGTAGAATTGTGACAACACATCTTCTGGATCGGTTCCACCAAAGGACTCTGCCACTCCGTTAAAAGAAACATCAGCCGTGGTGAAGAAATCAGACTGGCTTGCCAACGCATGCTCGCCGATACTGATATCATGCCTCTGGCTAAACCCCGTATGCAGCGGCTGTCTCGTCAGGGGCAGAGAGCGCCAGGCAATCTGCGACGTTGATGATGGCGTGACTCGTGTCTGTATCCGTCTACGGGGGATGAGCCCCAGAAACTCGGCGAATCCATCATCGAGGTCGTTTATCGTACAGGACTCAGCATTTAGAGATGATGCGGGAGGTGCTCCGGCAAAGAGAAGCACTCGAGGTGCCATGGTGAAAAGCGTGATTGTTGATGCTACAGATTATAGCGAGTCACGCCTTTTGGAGGTGCAAGAACACCATATGACACATGTCAAGACTCTGAATCATCCATACAAGGGTCTGAGAGATGTTGCTGCCTTGTAGTATATGCCTTGAAGTGGATTCTGGGGTTAGTTACTGTATCCGTAGACGGGGAGATTCACTATGCAAGATCGGCAGGTGTGTCCCGGGCGCAGCTGCCGAGGTATCCCCCACATTCTCCGCCGCCCCACATCCAACCCGCTTGCCGAGGCCATCTCCAACCTCGTCTCAACACGTCCCGTTTGAGAACAAGACGTGGTTTATTATATCCTTCCATAGTCACTCAATCCTCCAGATTGAAACTCACTCCTGATTTGTGCCTGTGGAACTTGTCCTCATCAGCTCAGACTTGCCATTTGTAGAGTCAAGTACCATGTCTTCCTTATTCGACATCAAGGAGCACACCATCGAAGCCTCCTACATACGAGAATACGCCCGTGCAACATCACACTCTCAAGATGAGAAGCTATTGTTGCACGTAAAGCAGTATATCCCCAAGGACAACCCAAACCCTCAAAAGGGCGACGTGACTCTTATTGGTGGACATGCCAATGGCTTTCCCAAGGTGAGTCTAAGCTATGCACTCACAACAAGACTTGAGCTAAGTGATCTGTATAGGAACTATATGAACCCTTATGGGAAGAACTCTACAAGGAAGCCAAGAGCCGGAACCTGCGGATTCGCAGTATCTGGATAGCTGATGCAGCCTGGCAAGGCCAGAGCGGTCTTATCAACAAGGACGCCCTCGGCAATGACCGTAAGACCTCGTCCTCCCCCTCCAGCTCTAGTACTCACACCTACCAGCAAGCTGGCTCGACTACGCCCGTGATATCCTCCAGATGATAAACACATTCCGCCCTCCTCCCCCAATCATGGCAGTAGGCCACTCCTTTGGTGCCAACGCCCTCACAAATGTCGCCCTACTCCATCCCCGTCTCCTTACTTCTCTCGTGCTGCTCGATCCTGTCATATCACATTTTGCATCTACACCTGTGGTAAAGGGCTTCGGTCCAGCAGCGATCAGCACATACCGCCGCGAAATATGGCCCTCTCGCGCCGAGGCAGCAGCGTCCTTCAGCCGCAGCCCATTCTACCAGGCTTGGGATCCTCGTGTCCTTGAACGTTGGCTGGACTATGGTATCAGGAAGATCCCCGGCGAGGAGTCAGTTACCTTGGCAACTACCAAGCACCAAGAAGTCTTTACCTTTCTACGTCCTAGCTGGGAAGCATACGACGCCCAGGGAAGGCAACTCGTCAACCCAGATCTCACACCAGATCTAGACCCCAGTCTCAACGAGCGGTGGCCTACCTACCCCGTCTACCGCCCCGAGGGCCCCAACACCCTCGCTCGTCTCCCACACGTCCGACCAAGTGTTCTTTACGTCTTTGGCGGCAATAGTGACCTCTCTCCAAAAGAACTTCAGGGCGAAAAGATGAAACTCACGGGCTCTGGCGTTGGTGGCAGCGGTGGTGAGGCCAGAGGCCGTGTCAAAAAGGTTGTCGGTGAACAATACGGCCACCTAATCCCTATGGAGAACCCCAGCTTCTGTGCGAGTGCCGCAGCCGAGTGGATCAAGGCCGAGGTTGATAGATGGTGGGTGGATGAGCGCAAGTATCACGAGTGGACGCTCAAGTCAACCGAGGAGAAAACCACCATCTCGGATGAGTTTAAGAAATTTGTTGGAAAGCCAGGTGGCCGCCGGCCCAAGGACCAAGCAAAGGCAAAGATATAGTACTCATCATATGCGAAACTTGTACGAATAGACAGCCATCAAGTCAACCAGCGAGCAATGCCCATATATCTAAACTCATACATTCGCGCTACCGAACAAACTCATCTGCTATAACTAACTACCTAATCAAGTTTCAACTAGACTGTATAAAAGCAATAGAGGGATAATCAAGTTCCGAAAGAAACTCCAACAATTCCGCTGTCCGCTTCCCCGTTAAACATGTCCAGAAACGCACAGTGGCATCCCATCAAAATCCGACTTTCTTACTTATCGCTGCCTCCAACACCAGAAAATGCACTTTAGATGTAGTACATGGAATCCTTCAAGGCTTCGTGAACCTGCTTGCTAGCGCCAACGCTCGACCCAGCGCCTCCAGTAACGACGCTGTCGGTATCGCTAACATCCAACAGCTCAGGTCGGTAGGCTCTGGCCCGGGTGCAGACAATGTCTGCGTAGTAGGCCGGAGGGCAAATGCTGACCGCCTTGGTAGCTCTGCCGTAGAGGTAGCAGAGCTCGTGGGTGAACTTCTCAAGCTCATTGGCGGCCTCGCTCTTGTGCTTGGCACGGAAGATCTCATCCAGCAGCACCGTGTAGTGAGCCGGCCGAGCCGTGCCCTTGAGGCTGGTGTGCGCCGTCAGGAAGAAGTCCCAATACCGAGCCTGCGTGACACCGCGGTCGACAACGGTACCGTTTTGGATGTTGCGGTCCTTTGGCAGGTTGTCTTCGGTCGTGGGATAAAATCGCGTCTGATGGCGCTTGACAGAAACGACAATAGTGAGCTTGGGTTGTTGATTCTTGGGGTACATAGAGTTGCACGCAATGCGCATCCGTGGCAGCTCCTTTTCGAGGACCTGGGCGAATTGACCCTCCGAGACACCGTCACGGAATATGACAATGTTCTCTGGCAGTTTATTCTGGTTGTGCTTCTTCCAGAGCTCAAGTCGTGACTTGAAGGCCTCGGTCAAAACCTCGTCCAGCATCTCCTGCTTGGAACTTTGCTCCCAAGAGACGGCTGGCCACTGCCCCATGTTTCTGTCAATGGTGGCCACCAAGCCCACCAGACTGGGTAGGTCGTCGCTGGCACCAGTAGGCATGTTTGTCGGATGCGTGACGTCGTAACCAACCACCATGGTCTTGCCCTCCTTGATGATGCCAAACTCGTTGCGCAGCTTGTGGTTGACACCACCAGCCTTGAGGTTCCATTTCAGGGCAACGTTAGCATAGTAACCGGGATTAGCGTTTGCAAGCTTCTTGCCCTGGACGCAACTGGTGTGGATTCCCCAGGTAACATCACCCAGCAACTTGACGGCTGAGTACATGGCAGTGTCTGTAGAACCGAGAGCAATAAGGATAAACTCAATGTTCTGACCCTTTGCCCACTTGAAGTACTCATTGCCACTGCCTCTCTCAAAGCCTGCGGCGGTCATGACCAGAGTGGGACCTGGTATCGGTTTGTTGGCAATCTTGATATCCATGGTATTCATGAACGCTGCAAACTCCTCTGCCTTGCTAATAGGAACGACGCTGTGTTCTGTTGGAGGTGCAAGGTTGACAAAAGCCCATCGTTGGATTGGCTTGCCGGACCTGTAGACCTTGATGTTCTTCATGTTCCAAGAAGCTCCAAAAGGTCGGACCTCAGTCTCCTTTCTCTTCGCGTCGAGGTAGGCAACCGCAGGTGCAGGGAGCACACGTCCTTGAACTGTGAGTAGAGTCTTGTCGACGGCGATGCCGAATTTTTCCTATCAGGGTCAGCTCATCTGCTCCTTAAAATAATGGTAGACGGGAAAACCTACCAGCACTTCACCATCGAGACCTAGAGTCTCGCGTCCTTCCTGGGTGATAGACAAGGCGTTGGCATACGGGCTTCGGCAGGCAAAGTTGACCATCTCGGTCGACTCTCCGCTAGTCAGCCTAGCCTTGACTGCTTGCCCAGGCTGAATCTCGACAAACTCGGCAGGGACGAAAGTCGGCTTGGACGCAGTTCCAAGGTTGAGGAGGGGGTAATCCTGAGGCTGGAAGTTGTACTCTAGGAGAATTGTCAGCTTAAGCATTGTGGGAACTAGTCACAACAGTTACATACTTGAACGGTAGTAGTCGAAAACCGTGACGTAGCGATTGTCCATGTAAAAGCTCACGTTCTTGGGTCCAGGATACTCCCAGTCACCGTCAATGCGAGGAGCGTTGGGGCCTGAGAAGGCTCTCGCATGGGAGGCCTTGACGATCCCAAATATGGCCTTGGATCTCCTGACCGTCTTCCCGTCCGCGAATTTCATAGTGACCCAGACACGTGTCTTGGGGAGGAACTTGCCAATCAGGTTGACGTTCCTCTTGGCCCTCCCATCGGATCTAGCCGCCGCATACACATTGAGATTGCGAAAGATCTGGTCGCATTTGCCAGCCACCTTGAAGATTCCGTGTGTGACGTTGGCATTGAGGAGAAGACGGCCTGTTCCAAGACGTACAGACTGGAAGAATCCACGGGCAGCAATCAAAGACCGACCGAGGTCAGTCGTGATGCCACCGTTCTTAAAGGAGAAGAAACGCGATCTACCGATCGCGCTGATGTCATTGATATTGGACCGGGGACCGTACCCAAAGATGACGTTGAGGCAATCGACAAGATCAGGAAACTTGGGGAAGTCGAGGGCGATGGCAGGGTCTTGATCGTCACCGGGAGCACCAAGCGTCTTGGCAGAGGTGCCGCCAGTAGTCGAATTGAGGTACTCAAAAAGGTCGTTCATGCGTATTTCGTTGGGTCCATGGATCTCAACTTCAAAGACGTCCATGTTGTCAGCGCCTTCTGCTGTAGCCACGCTGACACGCAGAGTGTTGTCGTTCTCCAGGTCAAGCTTCTGCAGGGAAACCAGTTGCGACTTGAACTCTGTTGCAAGGACTAGGGACTTGTCCCTCTTTGTGAGTTCCTTCAGAACTTCGCAAATGACCAAGTGTAGTTTCCGGCCTTTGACGTCCCGGGGCTTAGGTTGCTTCGGCTGCTTAGGCTGCTTTCCTTTGCCCTTAGACTTGGCAGCACCCTCCTCCTCGGCGATAATCTCCTTGACCGTAATAGTGTACTTGTAAAGGACGGGGAACTTTGTCTTGATGCCATAGTAATTGGCCCAGAGGGTGACTGGGTTGCCTCTGGTACCAAAGCCAGGCCGAGCAGGGAACTTGTCCTCCTCCTGAGATTTCTTGGCTCCGAGCTCGAGCTTGCCCATCTTTGAGATGAGCTGTTGGGTAGAGGATGCTTGATGTTGGACTGTCTCATTCTCAAGCTTCGTTGTGTTGGCATCGGGCTGTGGAATAGCTCCACCCATGCTAGACAAGTTAGTATCGACAAGCAAGAGGTTCATCAGGAGTCAGGGAAAACATACGTGAAGATGAGCGGTTGATTGCCGAAACCTCCCCCTCCTCGACCGCCACCACGACCGCCTCGTCCTCCTCCGCGGCCATGGTCAAAACCTCCACGGCCACCTCTAAAATCGCCTCGTCCCCTAGAGTCGCCACGTCCTCTAAAGTCGCCGCGCCCTCTGAAATCTCCTCGTCCACCTCGGAAGCCACCGGAGTCTCCACCACCGCGTCCTCCGTCTCCACGGCCTCGGCCGCCTCGAAAGCTGCCGTCACCTCGACCACCGCCGTCACCTCGGCCGCGACCACCACGTCCTCGGCCCCCACGGCCGCCTCTATCACCTCTGTCTGCCATGGCGGACACGAGGGTATGGGCTCAGAGTATGAGTTGGGGTATGAGTCAAGAGAAAGAAGGTGGGCAAGAGAGTGAGTGACTGATGGGCGTTGATGAGTGTTGTAGGCAATACCACTTAGGAATGTAGATAGCTGATTGCTGATGTTGAGTGTTAGACGGGGCGTCTAAGTGAACGTGTGTAGATGTGTTTGCGGAAGAGAGGAGAAGATGTAGGAGGAGGCAGGAGGAGGTTTTATTCTGAGAGGGAGCAAATGCTTGCGGTTGACAAGGCCTGAATCACTGTCCCGGCAGTGACAAAGCAGTAACCTGCATCAGCTGGCCGCCAGCTGCAAACTCTTTGGTCGCCTGTGATTGGTCACTTTAGACGAAGAAAGAAGGCTCTTTCCAGTGCCAAATACGAGATTGGGATCGAAGAAGGCGGCTCTTGAAGAATTGATCCCCAGGACTGGGAGGGAGGAGCTGCGACGGAGGTTGGAGGTTTAAGAGAAAGGCGGGAGCTATCGCGGGGGCTAACGATCCTAGCGACCCGGTGGAGCAAGCCAAGATGAACCAGGCTGTCGTACAAAGGAATAGATAATTAAAACAAGAAACGCAGCGGTTGAGACGCACATGCATGGCGGTTTCGCGTGAGGAAATAGCCAATGTCGCTGCGTAAAGCTCAGAATGGTCGGCCTCCTGCAGCCTTTGTGACGCCTGCCTCTAGCCATGGATCATGAGAGGCTTGCATGGTTGGGCTAACCAGGCATTCTGACGATGGTGGCCATCATTGATCGTCGGCTACCCTGGACTACCACAGACACATGGGAGGCATCTTATTCAAGCTGTCTTGTGCGGGTTCCTTGCAGATGATATCTGACTCAAATATTGCTTCGCCTTCATCACGCAGGAACTCATCGCTTTGAGCACACGTTCATCTCTTGTTCGTCTGCATGTTTGCTTCTTTCTAATGGTTGCCCTCTTTACACTGCCCCAGCCGGCCACGAAACTTGGCCCAATGGATACCCAGCCGCACCGTAAAAAGCAAAGAGAGACGTCACAGACCTTTATCACAGCTGTCTCCTGCAAGGCTAGGTCACGGGCTCGGTAAAGTGACCAGGGAGAACAAACACCTCTTGAACGGCCCGTGATCGGAAGGACCCTTATCCAGACCTAAGTAGATATGGGTCCATGACAATCAAGTTGGACCAAGAAACCAACATGAGAACCAAACAAAGTAGTAGAATACAGATACTGCAATGACTTCAATTCTGTTTAAAAACAGTGCTCCCGCAAAACTCGACATCACCCGTGGCCAAGACTCTCCCCCGTTACCCTACATTTCTGCCCTCATCCACCCACTTCAAGCCCATTGATTGACTGCCTCCAGGATGTAAGCGACCTCAACCTGCGGGGCTTGAACAACCAAGCGTCCATACGACACATGGCAAGCGTTTGAGCACTTGCAGGCCTTTTACATGTAGCCTCGCACAAGGGGTCTTCCCTCTCGTCCTGGCCCCACAGCCCTGTGTTTGCCAGGACCATGCTGTATGTGCTCGGAGCAACTTACACTTGGACCTCTTGCGTGCAACGGGACTCTCTAGGTATATCAGACCTGCCCTGATAGCCCAGGAGATGCCATTGATGTCAATAAAGCTAGTTCTGAGCCCTATGGTACCGTCTAGCTTCATCCCTCGGTAGCAGGATTCGGTGGATTCTTAATGTTGTAACCCTCATCACGACTTGAGCAATGCTCGGCTTCCCGCATGCATCGAGTCAAGGGGTGCTTCAGAATGATCCTCTGACAGGTAAGCGGAAATCAAGACTTTGCAGACAACGGATCTTTGCCAACTTACTCCTCTCACTCTCAGACTCCATGTATCTTGCCCACAAGTCTACTGCGCACTACGAGATCATGCACTTCTTCATCCAAGAACTACAAGAATAGTTGTCCCGATGCATATACACCACCACAAACATTTATTCACGGATAACATCAATTACCCTGTCACAAGTCCGTTTGCTGGAGCCCTGACGACACATCGATCGAACAACTAGCTCTCAATAAACAATAATCGGCTTAAACCCAAACATATTACAAAACTACCATGTGTACCGGCCAGCGAGGGTTCTATATCTGTCCCTGCAAGAATCTGTCATGCCCCAGGAGAGGAGTCGTGCCGCACAGAAACATCATCTACGGGCACGTGGCAAAGATCGAGATAGACACGATTGCCTGGGACATATGCGAGTGGTGGATCGCCAACGGACCCCCTGAGCAGGTTCTCAACCGGTACCTGAAGCCGAGCTGTGTTTACTTTGCGTGGCACACTCTCATGATCAACACGACAATATGTGAAGAGTGTGAGGTTACTTGTGCGGAGAGCAACAGAGGTGGTGGAGGCGGTGAAAGGAAGAACTGAATTATCTGGTGTTGTTCACAGAAAACAAAAAAGGGATAGAATTAGTTTAGATGGATTCCCGGCTCTTTGACAATGATGTTCAGAGGCCAGAGACAATAACATCGTTTCACCAAACGCTGAACACTGGTCCGATTGCAGTGATACACCAACTATAAGAAGTCGGAATCAAATTCTGACTTTGCACAGTTCAGTCATACTCAACTGCCTTTTCATCAACAACTCACTTGACACTCACACAGCAACACTACCCTATCCAACTCTGACAAAATGTGCCACGGCAAAAACGTCACTATCATGTGTCCTTGCACGAACGTAAACTGCAGCTCCAAAAATCCATATGTGGAAGGGGGAGGGAATGGTCATCTGATCGAGACACTCACCTACATTGAGCCTTGCAAGGCACGCGAGAACAAGCCCCAGCGTCCTGGTACCTATCCGCGCTGCGTCAGATGGTCCGACCAAACACAGTGGTACGAAGAGATCTGTGAGGCCTGCTACGGAAGCGGCTGCCCTGAAATCAGAAAGTAGGGGGCGAAGAAGAACTAGAACAAGACGGATATGAGCCAGCCCATGTTCTTGTGTGGTTGTTTGGGAGAATTGATCTCAACTGAAGAAACCACGTCTAGTAGTTGAAATTCAACATATTCATTTTGACCTGATCACATTTCTGTCTCCGTGAGTGACTCCAGCTGCGGTTGAAGGTCTAGTGGGATGACAGAGCACAAGATCTCGCCAGAGGACAATGTGTGACTGCCGCCAGGAGAGGGACATCAAGGTCAAGAGACAAGATGGGTCTCCTGACCTTGATATAGCGATAAGGAAACACACAATGCCTAGGGTGGGAGATCGATCTTAAATTGGCAAGCTACATGTTATCCTGGATAGAACCTTGCCCCAGTCACTCAAACTGAAAAACCCTCACATGCCATTATCTGACATGGCTTCAACCAACAACGCCAACTTCCCCGCCTCTATTCTGATGCTTCATTCGATTGATATCCAAAATGTTATGACTTGACATGCCCAGCCGTTGCGACCTGCAGGATCTCGTCCTCCAGCCCTGAGACGAGGTGCACCTCTATCCCAGCATCCTGAAGCGTCTTGCGGCCTGTATTTTCTCCAACAAAGGTCTCAGGCTCTTGAACGCCCACATACACCTTGTTGATCCATTGCTTCTGACGCAGAACCCTCTCGACGCAGGGGAGCTTGCCGCTTAGGCGCTTGAAGCAAGGCTCGACTGTGGTGTAGAGTGCATGTGGGGTGTTGAATACCTCGGAGAGCTTCTCCTCCGTCGTGCCGTGCTGTTCAGCTAGCTTTAACAGACAGCACTCTTCAGCATGTGTGTTTCCGGGAAGTTCTAATGTGTATCCCTCAGCGATGATGGTGTTGTCGTCGAGTCGCACAATGAGAGCGCCCACACGGAAGTTTGTGGGTTTGGGAGGGGAACTATTAGCCTGGCCAAGCGCTCGCTGCATGAAGGCTTTATGGTCGCCAGGCTCTATCGTTGCCATTGTAGAATATTTAGAGCCTGGCCTGAGTAATTGAAACGGTTGAAACAAGAAGATGAGGAATGAGGTTGAAGCTGTTCACAGCTCCCACTTTGGTGGCCGGTGCTTGTAAGCTCCGATGACCGCATGCACTTTAATCAGCCCCACATTTTTCTCAGAGCGCGTTGAGTCGCGTCTCTCCATGAGCATCAACGCCTTCGAAACTCAGCTTCACCATCTCATCTACAAAAAACGCCAACATCAGAAAAAATGTCGGATTTCGAAGACGTATTGGACAGCGAGCCTCCTACCATCGACCCCTATGAGGTCTTGGGCGTGGAACGGACAGCAAATCCCGACCAGATCAAGGGCGCATACCGAAAGGCTGCCCTTAAGAACCACCCAGGTTGGTCCAGCTCCCGTTTGTTGTACGGGAGGCCAGACACTAACATCATTCAAAGACAAGGTCCCTCAGGATCAAAAAGAGCAAGCGCACGAGAAGTTCCAATCCATCGCTTTTGCCTACGCCGTTCTCTCTGATCCCGCCCGACGAAAGCGCTACGACACGACCGGTTCCACGGCCGAATCGATTGTGGACTCTGAGGGCTTCAACTGGAGCGATTACTATCGAGAACAATACAAGGAGTCGGTCTCTGGCGATGCTATCGAGAAGTTTGCCAAGAAGTACAAGGGATCCGATGAGGAGAAGGACGATGTGCTTATCGCATACGAACAATGCGAGGGCGACATGGATGAGCTGTACGAGAGGGTCATCCTGAGCGATGTGCTGGAGGACGATGAGCGTTTCCGCAAGATCATCGATGAGGCGATCGAGAGCGAGGACGTGCCTAGCTTCCCCGCCTACACCAAGGAGTCCAAGAAGAAGCGGGCCACACGAGTCAAGAAGGCTCGAGCGGAAGCTGTAGAGGCCGAGGATTATGCCAAAGAGCTCGGCGTGCATGATAAGCTATTTGGAGAAAAGAAGGGAAAGAAGAAGAAGGGCAAGGGAAGCTCTGAGGATGATCTCGCGGCGCTGATCCAAAAGCGTCAAAAGGACCGCTCAGAGAGCTTCCTCGACCATCTTGCTGAGAAGTATGGTGCCAAGGAAAGCAAGCCCAAAAAGGGAAAGAAGAGGGCCGTCGAGGAAGAGCCCTCTGAGGAGGCTTTCCAGGCTGCCGCCTCCAGGTTGCGGAGCTCCAAGAAGTCAAGACGATGAAGACAGAGCAAGATGCTGGGCTAGGAATGGAGTTGGGTCAATAATATGTTATGGAGTTTGGAGTATGAAGGCGACTTTCTTTGTATGAATGCTATAATACTAGCCTGGAATATTGCAAGCAAGCAAATAATTCATGACGGTTTCTCTGAATATCACAACCTTGAATACAGATCTAATCTGACATGGATGTCAGCTTCACGACCTGTTGAGGCTATGCGCAGGAGTACAACACGCAAACAAGTCAAACGAACCAAACTTTGCACACAGAAACAAAGATACAATTGATCAATAATGATAATGCCAAACTGGGGCTACAGACTTGATTGTATCATTTGTTTCTTCCTCTATAGGGTGAGGAAAACATGAGATCACGGTCATTGTTAGTGACAAAGGACCCAGCCCCAGGCCAGCGGGGTTGTTTAGCACCTTCTGCCTGCCAAAGTTTCACTTCACCCTTCCACAACTTCGATTGTCGTGTGACGTCCTTGCTCTTGAGCAGACATCAACCTGACAGCATCGATGAATTGACGATGCGCAAGGATGAATAATTTGTCGCTTGAGAGAACTCTGCCGTCATGATGCCATGAGCGACCCGGCCAAGCCCCCAATTTACCCCCGGTATTGTTTCCATCTGGCGCCAACCGTGAATACCTGGTGCCTCTTCCGAGTAGCCGATGTTCACGGTCTTGACCAGCACGAAGGCTTCGAAGGTGAGTTACTTATGGAGTTGTCATAGAGATGGTCACTGACGGCTAGCAAGGTGAAAACTTTTACTTCTACGGGAATTTGCCAATAAAATGGGTGCGCATTGTTGGGGTGGTTGTCGCCATCGATGACTATGCAGGGCGACGCGTCTACACTGTAGACGACAGTAGTGGCGCCTGTATTGAGTGCACAACCCTCATATCGGCTTCTCAGGAAGGGGTCGATAGTGCGGCGACGACGACAGACGCTGCCTCGAAGGTGGATGCAAACCCACTTGCGGCTGCTGCCCTCTTAGCCAATATCAATGTTGGAAGCGTCGTTGATGTCAAGGGGGGAATATCCACCTTCAGGGAAGAGCGGCAGCTCAATATCGAGAAGATGGTCCCTCTACGAGGCACAGCACAGGAGGTCGCGCTCTGGGAAAAGAGGATCAAGTTCCAGTCTGAGGTGCTGACGAAGCCTTGGGTCTTGCGGAACAGAGACATCCGCAGATGTCGCAAGGAGGCTGAACGAAGTGAAGAGGAGGCAGAGAGGAAACGCAAACGGCTCAAGGCGATGATAGAGCCAAAGGTGGTCAAGCAGCCGACCAGATCAGCGGACCAAGACCAACGCAGCGAGAGTCAAGAGCCAAGCAAAGCCAAGCGTCTGGAACTGCGACAGATTCTTGAGCACGGCAAAAGAGGCAAATATGATGCGCTGGGACTATGAGATAAAGCTGGTTGAGAATGTGAACAAGGGGCTTGTTTTGCTTAGCGGGCGTTCCTGGATAGGTCTGGACTGAGAGACATGGCAAAGTCGATTTTTCAGCAATGATTGGCAGACACAAGGCCATTATGCCCTGTTCCGGAATGCGATTTTGACCTTGAACGTGATCGAGCAGCGTGGCAGCCCTGCGGAGGATTTCCATGGGCTCGGGACTTGGCAAAACACATGGACAGCCTGTGGCAGTCGCGGTAAATTGTCTCACCTTCTAACAACTTCTTCTATTGAATGTCACCTCGAGTCAAGTGAGTGGCTAAAAGTTCAAGACAGGCTGCACGGGAGAGTGCCTCAAGACGGCAGACAGACTGACAACTCATCCATCTGACTTGACTTGATGGCGAGGCGTCGTCATCAGCAAATCGATAGTGTGTCTGGACCAAAGACACTATCCAATTTTTTCCTACGGAGACCTTGGCCGCGAGTGGACTGGCGCGAGAAGCAACTGTCGACTGAAAACCCCCCGGAAATTCACATCGCCAAAGGAGACTCTGATTACTTCCGACAGCCGCGATGGCGCGTATCAGCTTCAACTGTGAGGCGTCCAGTGAGACGCCGTGACGGTTCTGTGCGTTGATGATGGAAATTTGGAGGCGCTCTTAAAACCCCATATTCCCCTGGGCTGAGCGTCGGTGCCGGCTGTGGCGAGCTCAACCGCGACGCATCCCAACGGCCCATGCCCCTTTTGAGGGTGGTTTTGCACAGAATCGATAGTCCCTGAAGCTAGCGCGTGAGCGGCTGCTCTGTGGGACGGCCCTACTGCAGGTACACGCGAAGCCACGGGCACGTCCTCGTCGATATCGGCTCTGGATTGGACGCCCACTTCCCTGGAAATGGTTGCCTTCTCCACACCATCACCAACACTCACTCAGGCAGAGTTCGAGACTGAGGACATGCGCCCGGGACACTTGATCTGGAATGCGCGAGCGACCTTGATCAAGGCTGGAGATCATTGACAGAGAGAGAAGCTCCTTCCGGATCGTGACGGAGATTCGAGGTATCTCCTGCCTTGGGCACATGAACAGTTGCGCGAAATATTGAGGTTAACAATCCATGAAATGGAACCCAAACCCTTCACTGTGCCTCATTCACGCCTCTTCCTTCAAATTCCAGCCAATCTCACTCATTCTCCATCCTAAAATCCAATTTCTCGATTCAGTGTTATCCTTGTGCGCCATCTTACCGGTACCTGAACCGCCCTACGCCTCCATTAACGACTTCAAGTCACTACCTTAGCGAGCATAGCATTGCATTGCTTTTCGTGGTCGATTCTAGCCTTGGTCTAGCCTCTAGGTAAGCCACGCCAACACACGTTGGTTCATTTCTTCCCGATGGACGCAAGAGTCTAGCCCCCCTCTGCCGGGGGGCCACCAGACTAGCGATTTACGCATGCGATGGTATCTCAGCTTGTGAGCATGGCCCTGGGCCCGAGTGCATTGTTATATGAACCATGGATCCCCTTCCCGTCAGATATCCTGATTGAGCAAGCCATCGCCTGTCTTGTCTTGCAGAGGTTCCAAACTTCTCCATCAAGGCAGCTCCCTTCCTTTAACTTCTTGTTCACTTTCCCTTCACCATGAGATCTCACAGGGTCCTCCCGATATGGCTCCTCTGGCTAACCCAGGGACAGGGGTTGACCATCCCCAACGCCGACGACAACTCGGCCGATACCTGGCAAGACTCCCACCAGGAGTTCAAGCGAACCATTGCGACTGAGGACCAGGAGTATCTTACAACTTACGCTAAAGACGACATTATCCCGGCCACCGAGACTGTCGACGTTAGCACCAGCAAGGCGCAGACTGGAACTGCCATTGTTCTTCCTTCTCTCTCAGACGTTGAGCCTCACACTGAAGGTTTCATTGTCACCGACCTTTACAACCCTCTTCAGACTGAGGCTCCTATTCTTAGCACCTCGATTAAAAGCCCGTCGAGCCTTCTCAAGCCTGTTGCATCCCCCACCAAGAACGCTCAACCTTCAGGCCTTTCCAAGATGGCGACCAGCAACGACATTTTCGCCAACCCTATCGACACCAGCGCTCCTCTGGCCATGTTCCAGAGGAAAGCCGACCACCCGGTTCCTCGTCTGGGAATCTCTAAGTCGGGTCCCCTCGAGACCAACAAGTTCTACTCCAACTTCTACCTCGGAGACCAGAAGAGCCCGGTTTACACATACCCCTATGCGCTCTCGTGGGCTGCCGGTGCCGGTGCCGCCGCGAGTTGGGGTATGGCGATTTCTCATGTCGAAGCCAGCCAGCGAGTTTACGGTCCACTTCAATCTAACAAGGCTGTGGAATACTACGTCAACCCCGTCGGCATTCAGTCCATGATCATCTCGGCCAAG